TCTTCTACATTTATAACTTTATCTCTTTCTATATGAAATTTCTTGGTCAGTTTCACCGAATTATTTTCTTCTAAAGTGGGATCATTATTTTCCTTCTCTTTGAATCCCTCATGTCAATATATACATTTCATATGTTTGTTCAAAAATGTGCTTTGAGATTTTAATATTAAAACATACATTGGAACCTCAATGCCACATAATTTATTAATGATTGGAATTCTATTTAAGGTAAGCTGTCCTAGACTTCATCCAAGAGCATTAAAATTCTCATATAACATGTATACCATATTATTTAAAGAGATTATTTAAAGAATTGTTGGTATGTCTTTGTTATACGAGGTAAGGCAGAGTAGTCAATGAGAAAGAGCCTAGGATTAGAAAGTTAGAGGCAAGCTTTTAACCTTCATGTCTGTTTCTTCATCTTTAGGGAGTTATATCTTGATTATCTGTATTTATGGAAAAGATTTGTTACTTCATCTCTGCTTGGTTTAGAAATATATTGTGTGATTTTTCTTTGCACCAGAATTAAAATACTAATTGTTTATCTTAACTTCTAAGGTAGTTCATCTGCCTCTGAGCTTACACCAAAGTCAGTGGAGGCTGTTGATGTGGTAGCCTTGTAGTTGGCAGGGGGAAACCAACTTAGCATTAATCACTGGTTGTGGATAAGTCTTGAGAGTGGCTAATTGATATGCAGATAATTGAAAGTTGATTATACATGCATATGCCTGTCTTTTAGCTATAGTTGCAGCAGAATGTAATAATGTTTATGAAGGACTTAAATATTGTGTAAAAAGATCTTTATTAATTAAATTTTGGTGCTGCCACTGCAATATTTGTATATCATCTATGATTACTATCATTTTTCAGATGACTGTTCATCTGATTACTCCAGGTGCTTTTTACACAATACTTGTTTTGTTGAAACATAATTTTAAAACCACACAAAATATATTAGTTAATTCCCTAGTTAAACTACCATTTACATTTCTCCTGAAGGATATTAATCCAGTTTATTGAACACAAATGTGTTTTACCAGAATAAGAAAATAAGGTAAGGTAATGAGTTAGAATCATTAATTTATTTGCCTGATTCAGATGAGTTAAAGTTGCCCTTATGTATTTATTAATGTATTATGAACACATTATTTGAATGCATTTGCAGAATACGGAATTTAGTGTAAACAAGTGTCCGAGTCATAGTGATTGTTCTAATAATGGTCTACTAGTAAACATTGATTCTGAACGAAAATCTTGAAAATAAAGCATCCTAGTTTAAAGTATTAAAGAAATAAAAAGCTTTTCTTTTTAAAAATTTGTTCTTAAATGACCTACTTTGTTAACCTTTTATTAATCTTTTATGCACTTTAAATTAATTAAAAATATGCAAACTATTTTTTTCTTTAGTTTGTAGTATCTTCTTTATCACATACCCAGAATACTGATGATTTAAAATGTCTTTAAGTTTAGTTATGGAAATAGTTAAGTTACAACCAACTCTTGATTATGACAATGGTAGGAGAAATATAGTGGATATCGGGAAAAACAGGTGTATATCAAATTTAATTTTATGAAAATTTTCACAATAGATTTACTTAAAAATATATAAAAATATAAAATTATGAAATGCTCGATGATTATCAGCTAAGTAGCAACTGGTGAAGATGGTGTAGAAACATGAGATCAGAGAAAACTAAACGGGGGTTAAAAGTTTTGTATTAATAAAGTGTATGTATTATTGAGAGTTGACTATGAGATTAGCTTTGGACAGATGAGTTTGGTATTTTACAAGGTTTATTTAATGTAGTCTATTTACTTCTCTTTAATTAAAAAATTACAGTGTTTAGCTCTAAGTAACAGTTTGTTTTAAATGTAACTGGGAAATAATAGTGTCCTTTTTTCCTTTTTCTTTCATTTTCTTTGTCTCTTTCTCTCCCCCCTCACTTACTTTTAGGGTATGAGTATTATAGAACAATTAGATCCTGTATCTTTTAGTAATTACTTGAAGAAATACCATAATACTATATGTGGAAGACATCCCATCGGAGTGTTATTAAATGTGAGTATCCTTAAGAAGCCTTGATTTTTAATATTTGATCCTATGATGTTTTAAAATATCTTCAATTCTTAAGGTAACTTAGTAGCATAGGTTTTCGGTACATATAGTCAATTTTCTTTTAGTACATTTAAGATGATTTGGATTTCCATTGTTTTGGTACCTGAATAAAGTTATATGTCACTGGAAGACAGGCTGATATTTTCTTTTAAATGCAGAAAGTTATTTAGAATGCAGACCCATTTTCTCTAGATTCTCAGCCAATTCCAGTATGCTCTTTATAAATATAAACCAAAGTAACCTTTCAAGAGATGTTCTTATTGATTTCTTGGTTTTATTTAGTGTCCTAGACTATATAAAAATAAATAGAAGATTTTGCTCTTGAACTTTAGAAATATGTAAGTTAATAAAGTAAGACAGATGACATGTATATATTTTTCTCTTTACAAGAAAAACAGTAGTAATTCATTTAAGGAATGGAGGTAATAGGTGGAAATCTTTTTTCTAAAATATGGAACGCTTCACGAATTTGCGTGTCATCCTTGCGCAGGGGCCATGCTAATTAATCTTCTCTGTATTGTTCCAATTTTAGTATATGGGCTGCCGAAGTGAGCACCAGAAGTCTTGGTTAGCTGGAATTTTGAAAGAGAGAATAATATTTTCCCTAATAAATAAAACAGTATGGATTTTCTGAAATAAAATGCAAAACTTTTTAAGAAAGAAGGGAGTATACACTCCAGGAATGGGAGGAGGAGGAAATACTAATAGGTTCAATTAAAGTAAAAATCCTGGTATACCTCTTGAAACTTAATTTATATACATTTTAACCTTAGCCAGAGTCAGACAAAGAAAAGACTGCAACAATTCAAGATAGTAGAGTAGCTAAGATTTGGTTTAGAGAAAAGAGAGAAAGAAGCTATGAATTAATTTGTTTTTGTTTTTAAGTGGTCTTATCAAAGAAGTACTTTGATAGAATTAAATAAGGAATTATCATTTATTCCTATTTAACATAAGTTGAAGAGAAATTAAAGAAACAAGTGACGAGTGAAAGAGATCTAGGCACCAGCTGTGAAGTGGGCCAAGTTAAGCCACCAACGCATTCAAAGAGTGCTAATCACATCTTTCTTTTTTTAGGCTATTACAGAGCTCCAGAAGAATGGAATGAATATGAGCTTTTCCTTTTTGAATTATGCTCAGTCAAGCCAGTGCAGAAACTGGCAAGACAGTTCAGTGAGTTACGCTGCTGGAGCACTCACGGTCCACTGACGCTCTGAATCCTCAGGGATGCCACCTGCACATACTCATACTCTGTTCGGGGTCCCAGCCTAACCCTTACCAAGACCCAGATCCTGGTTTGGGGGGATTCTGAAACCTCAAACAAATAGAACTTTCTTCTCTTCTTTTCTAGTAGGTGTAGTCCTTCCTTAATTTCAACTCATTAAAAAATGCTTTATAGTTTAGGGCAGTGGAAGGAAGGCTGGCATCAAATATTTTGATCAAAGAAGATGGCAATGTAATGGCCCAGTTGTGGCAGTGTTTTGAAAGTAACTTGTAAAGCATTTACCATATCCTAAATTTGCACTCTTTGCAGACTTGTGCACATATATTCCGCTTTCAGAATAGTTTTGCAAATTGTACACAGACAAAAAAGGTGGAAGCTTTTTAATAAAGAAATTGCATTTATAAATGATCTGTATTAGAATATAATAATTCTCCAGTTATAGTCAATTACTACCCGTGTTGTACAACAGATACCTTCTATTTTAGTTGCTAATAAAGGGCTACACAACTCAAAATAGTCTGATTTAAACTTATTGCTCTGTGGTATATATGAAAATTGTTTTTTTATTAATTCATCTCAATTTTTATGTTAAAAGTGGTAAACTTCAGTTCTTATATAAAAATATGTTAGGATGTATTTTATATTTTGCATATATATGTGATTTTTTATCACAGATATTAGAATCATATTTTAAAGCTAGCTTTTTAAATTACATAGTTTTTTTTGTGTGTGTGACATCACTTTGTGTCATTACTATATTGTATATTCAAGATTGATAAAAGAACATAGATGTAGTCCTTTCCTCTAAAGATAGTGTTTGATAGGCAGTAGTCTGCAAATGAGGAAACACTGAAGAGTATTCTTAGAGTTTTTTAAATCATTGCAGACCATAGACTGCTGCTATGCTTTTTAAGTGCTTTAAGCACTTTGACTTGAATTTTTAGCAAGACATCATTAACAATAACAACAAAAAGCCACTGGATTTTTTTATAGTTCTAAAATATTTTTTCATGACTTTTGGTGCGGCTCTTCCAACTAAAATAATGGTATGGTGTTGTATTTCTTTCTGTAGCATAGATCAATTCTAGTGACATTGGAAAAAAATGTATTCAGTTAGGTAATTATTGGCCACCATGCATGTACTAGATTATACCTATTTTAATCTAACAGTGGGTATCTTCATTACATTGGAGAACATTTATATCTTCAATGATATACCAGAATAGCACAATTTTTAGATGCCTTGCACCAATTTTATTTAAAAATTGCATTTCTTATTTACTAAATATCAACTTTCTATACACAAAAATTGAGATAAAATAATGCTGCTTTTGGATTCAAAATTACCCACCTAAATATATGTGGAAATTATATTCTAACATATTACTGATTTATTTCCCATAATTTAGATACATTTTTAAGTGCTATAAATATTTATTCCTTATTTACTATATAGAATGTAAAATTTTCAAAATTGACTATGGAATGAATTTTTAATGTTTTCTGAGTATAAAACTAATACATGACTATTATGGAAAATTTAGAAAATACTGAAAAGTATAAAGTAGAGAAAAAATTGTCTGCAATTTTACTATCCAGAGATAATACTGTTAATTTTTTTTTGTATTTTCTTTGTCTTTGTCTATGCTATTTATATGTATGAGTGTGTACATGTGATTGTGTGTGTGCATAATAACAATATTGAGATTATACTGACCATATAGTTGTATCCTACTTTTATAACTTAAGATTATAAGTCCTTCCCCATATCTTTAAAAATGTGATTTTTAAAAAATGACTGCCTAATATTCTGTTATATGAATATACCATAATTGAACCCATTCTCTCCTTGAATATTAGATTGTTTCTAATATTTCAAAATTATAAATAATAGCAGATGGACATCTTTGTATGTGAAATTTGAACTCTGTACTAGACTAGTTCTTTAGGGTATATTCATGGAAATGGGATAATTGGTTTAGATGCTGAGAACTTTTTAGGCTCTTTAAAATATGACCAAATTACCCTTCAGAAAGTTTGTGCCAAATTAGCAATATAGGAATACTCATACTGCTCTTCTTGACTATTGATTTTTATTTTTTAAATCTTTGACAGTTTGTTAAGCAAATATTTGTTTGTTCTTTTGATCATTCTAATTAATGAATGGTTTTACAATGAATCAGTTTTTTCCTTCTGTAATGTTATAGTTGATTGTTTAATAAAAAACACAAGAGGGTTGCTAGGTTGAGTGGGCAGTAGCCTTATTAGTATGTTTACTGTACATTTAAAACTCTAGAATATTTCAACATCATCCCTTTCCTAGAATATGAGCTTGTCTTTCATGCTCAGTCATTAACTAGAAAGAGTCCCAAGCCGATAGTTGAGTGTTGGGTTCTAGCTCTGCCTCTGCTACCAATTAATTCTCTCACCATAGATATTTCATGTTGTATCAAAACTTTCTCACTTGTAAAATGTGGAAGTAATCTCTTAAGCACTTTCCAGTTTCAAAGTACTTTAATGTGAGTTTACTCTTTAGAGATTCTGGTGTCACATATGTTTAAAGCTACATGATTGAATTAGATTAGAAGTATTATTTTTTTTCTTCTAACTCTACATACATGAAAATGAAAGTCATTTTTAATAGAAAAGGAAAATTAATATGTATTATTTAATGTGGTTAAGATTACCTGAATTGTTGAACTTAAGCTTTTCTACTTTAAGTGCCTTTAGCAGTGTTTTGTATTTGCAAATCTAAAATGTAAATGAAATTATTATGTAGTTTTATATAGTTTCTTCTTTATTTTTACTTTGAGTTATTTGCAACTTTTTTTTAAACCTTAGATTACACAGAGCAGTGTATTCATGGATTCTTCACTATTTCACTAGTGAGTTCTTGAGAAATGTATGTTAAAGATTAGCTCAGTGAGCAGGTAAGTAAATTCTTCATTTTGGGTGGGCAACAAGTCTTTATACAGAGTAGGATAAAGGACTATTCAGATAGTCCAATGTTTATATTTAGATATTTTAATATGAATGGTACAGGCACCCGGAGTTGATTAATGGTTATTGTTGTAGGTCTCAAAAATTTTCTTTGGTAGCAAATAGTTCATTACCCTAGAGTAGAGGTTGGCAAATGCTTTTGGTAAAGGGTTACATAGTAAATATTTTGGTTTTGCAGGCCAAATGACCTCTGTTTTATTTATTTACCTTTGTTATTGTAGTACAAAAGCAGCCATAGACAATGTGTTCCACTAAACCCAAAAGACACAGCTGGATTTGGTCCATGGCTGGTAGTTTGCTGTCCCCTGCCCTAGATGGTGTAGTTCACTTGTAGTTCAAATTATTGGCTAGTAATTTAAACTGCAACAAATGGTTGTATCATCCCAACCCTCTCTTAATTTGATGTAGTTTAGTTTGCTGGATTTGAGTGTTATTTAGGATTATAAAGGTAAGTGGGAAGTGGGTAAGGGAAAATAGGAACTCGTGTTAAAAACACTTTGATGCCCTTTTATTTGCTGGAGCCCACTGGAGGTTTGCTTAGCTGCCATAAATTGTGTCATGAGTGGGGGTTGTGATTGGTTGTTGCAAATTATATAAATTTTTCCAAGCACTTAACTACCTAGATGGTAGTAAAGAATGGATTAAAAAAAAAAAAAGAATGGATCAGATGGACCTTTTTACCTGAGTATTTTAGGACACTAGACCAATAATTTAAGAGAGATTGTGAAATGTGAGACTTTGTTTTTGCCATGTAAAGACTTCTATCACCATCACTTTACACCTTTCCCTTTCCCCAATATTTAGGAAGGACGTAAACTCAGAATTAAAGTTATTTAACCTGAAAAATTTTAAGTCTATGGAAGAATTATTACACTGTTCTTTTCTCATTTACTCTAGATCACTGAAAACTTCAAGTATCAGTCCATAGATTGGCAGTTGGGAAGTGCGGTGATATAGTTGCTGAAAGACCTAATGTAGTTATAAAACTATTATTGATTTGGAGATGTAATAAACCAAATGTACTCTGATATTTAGACTAAAACGTTTACATTATTTGTTAAATTGTATGTGCCACATGTTTAGAGGGACATTATGAGTTAAATGTTCACAGGGAGGCAACCAGAATGCGAAAGGCCTGAGTGGTGTGGTAAGTGGGATGCAGTCCAAGAAATTGGCGATGTTTATTTTGGAGAAGATTTGAGTGACTGCCATATGTAAGAAGGAATAGGATTACTCTGTGTTGTTATTGATGGAAAAATTAATTGTAAGAAATGAAAGTTTTTGGTTCCATATTTGATGTTCCTTATGAGGATTTCTAAATGAAAAGTGGCTGGCTTTGTCCTCATAAAATCATTGGAAGTATTCAAACAAAAGCTAGATCAGGGTTCTAAAGTAGAATCCCTGTACTCTCGGCATCAGTATCACCTGGGTATATTGTGGTATAGATCTAAAATTATGGGTTACCAAGCTGAAAAAAGCTAATAGAATTAGTACAAATAAAATGAAACATTTTTTTCATTTGTATAAAACTCTTAAGGGAAGTCATTTTTAAGTAAAAATTGATTTTGATAATTTAACACTAACTTTTAACACATATTATAACTTGATAAGATGATTGTTAATTATTAGTGGTGGAACATTGGACACTTAGGATAATTAATGTACTTTTGTTTAGTTACAATATTTAAATATAAGGTAGAGTTCTCCCATTTACTAAAATAATTTAAGTGGTCTTTGAATAAATGACCTATCTTTATTAAACACAGATGCTTTTTCAATCTAAAACAGCCATATCATTAGCAGGAAAAAAAAGGGTATTGAGGGAGCTTGCTCTTTTTTATACCTATTAATGTCAAAATGGTAGGGGAATGAGCAGCAGCTGGTGGATAACTTTTTCTCTACGCTCTTCCTCTCCTCCTACCTGCAAATAGAGTTGCATGGCATGTCACAGTGTCATCATTTGGTAAAGTTGCCCTCGAGCAATGCTGGCAACTGGGACCTCTGCCTTTTGATAGTCATTCTTGTGGATGGATTTAGTTAGCTTATCATGAGTTAGACTCTGTCATTGATAGAGTCTGCTTGTTGGGAACTATGTGAAGAATTTTAGGGTTTTAGGCCTGACATTTGTCCAAGGGTCCTACAGTGATCCCAGAGTGGTTTGTACCCACATTTATTCTGTGTGTGTGTGTATGTGTGTGTTTAATTCTAACGTAAAGTTTTGGCCAATCATCCTATAAAAACAATGGAAAAAAATTAAATGCCAGTTCTCCTGATTTTGAAAGCCATAATGTAATGCAATTGGTTTTTCATATAAATTGTAAATTATGTTCAAATACATATTTTATACTGAAAAGTAAGGTTTGTAACTTTACTAGATATACTAGGCATATTTTTTCTGTCCTAATATTAAACCTAATATTAAAACCAAAGAGAATATAAATACCATTATCGAGAAGCTATTGAAAGCCAAGTGTTTTAGACTATGACTATGACTGAGGTTCTGGTCTTTAAATCTGTCAATGTAAACTTTTGGAAAATATTTTAGTTTTTCTGACCATGGTATTCTCTGAATTACTGAATGTGATGTTATATACATTTAAGTAAAAAGTATTGAAAAGATGAAAACTAAAAAACTAGAATGATATGACACTGAGTTGTATGAATTTTTAAAAATTAAATATTTAGACTGTTGAACTAGATCTAATAAAAGTATTTTTAACTTAACAATTTTATAAATGGAAATTTTTCTGTTTTTTTTTTCCATTTAAAATTTACCCATTTGAATCTAACACATAATAGATATTTAGTTGGTGTTCAATTTTGATGAACTGAATTTTAAAGGAAGGAGAACAAAAAGCCATCTTTATATGGAGTGTTTTCTAAAGGACAGGAAAATATAAACCTTTTAAAAAAAATTTTTTTATTGATTAAGTTATTACATATGTGTCCTTATCCCCATGTTAATAAACCTTTTAATTGGAAACACTTTTTAAAAAATATATATATTTTATTGATTTTTTTAGAGAGAGGAAGGGAGAGGGATAGAGGGTTAGAAACATCAATCAGCTGCCTCCTGAACACCCTCTACTGGGGATGTGCCCACAACCAAGGTACATGCCCTTGACTGGAATCGAACCTGGGACCCTTCAGTCTGCAGGCTGACGCTCTATCCACTGAGCCAAACCGGTTAGGGCTGGAAACACTTTTTAATTGGCTCCCCCATTTTCAGTGTTTAATTGTGGAAACCAAATTTCTTACTAATTTAAAAAGATGGTAGAATTTAATATACCTATGCTCTTTGTAATGCCAAAGGAAATGAATGGTAATGTAAGTGATCTGGTAATTTGAAACCAATGCCCATGATTCTTAGCTCATATTTTGCAATATCCTATGGTGTTTACTGTTATTTAAAAATAATTAAATAAGAGGTCCTTTTTGCTGCTTGCCCTGTGACATGTCCAGCCAAATCCCAAGTGGAGAGATGCTAGGGAGCGCTAGGAACGTTGCACTAGAATCCATTTTCAGCTTTGCCAGGGAGTTGCTACTGAGTTGCTGAAATAAATCACTGCTGTTTTCTAGTGAGTTAATGTCTTTATTTATATGGGTTAGAATTGAATACTGTGACTCCTAAGGGCCTTTTACCTTCGATGTTTTATGACCATAATAAAAATATCTTACTATTTATTACATTGTACTTTTTTTTAATACATTGTACTTTTAAAACGTTTCACAACTTTTTCTTTCCTCTTAATTTAAACAGTAAGTAAGCTAGACATTATTATTATCTTACTTTTACTGATGGAGAACATAGGCCCATACAAATAACATGACTTATGTAAGTTCACATGGCTAGTTAGTATTAGAGCTAGGACAAGAATTCAGCTCCTCTAATTTTCAGTCCTGTGTGTTACAAATACTATATGCCATATTATTATTCTGTGTTTTGTTTTTGGTGCTGGCTTTTTGAGGTACCATATTGAATTGAATAGTAAAAGGGTTTTGCAACTTCAATAAAAATGGGAATCATTCATGTAAATGTCTATTTTGATTAATTCAGACAAAAGTAGATTTCTTTTGGTATGTTGAAATACTGATGATTCTACAGACTTCCATTTTCTTTGCTGGGGGGTTTACTTTTAGACCTTAAAATTCTGTTCTATGGCTTGCATCATTAAAATGCACTGCTTCTTTGTAATGGAACAGTGAGAAAAATGAAATTTAAGTTATTTGGTCTGTGAGTCTTACTAACGGTGAGACTTTGCAGCAGATACCTGACTGACCATTCTTGTCCATGCATAAAGTGTGCTGCAAGCACCTGCGGCTTTGCCTTGGATGTTCTCGTCTGCACACAGGGCAGAGTGGAAGTGCTAGGAAGATAATCCACTGGAGCCAGCCATCAGCCAGTGATGGATGGGAGCGTTGGAGGATAATAATTGCAGCTTTCTTGCCCTACTGGTAATACTCTGAGGCCTGTTTCCCATGGTCTCCTGGGGTTTCCGGTGGGACTGGACCTCATTGCTCACAGCAGGAAATTTTTAAATGTGTTTTAAAAACATTTTCTGCCTCTTTTTTGTCTCCTTCCCATTCTTTATTAACCTTTCCTGGAATTACCTCCCAAATGAGCTTTTTATCTTTGAGTCTGTTTCTGGGACAAACTAAGCCACGTTTGATTGAGAAATAAGTGATTACTTAGTATGCTTATTAGATATGAAAGATTTTTTTAAAGAATTATTTTGGATAAGTTCTAAAACAAGTATTTTAATCTGACTATTTTAATTTGTCTTATAAACACATCCATGTTAAATTTAATTTTCTTAGCTCCATTTCATAACAAAGGACAGATTTAAGGCCAAAAATCTAAAGTAAAAATGCAAGGTAAATATATGGAAATCTTCCTATCTTATCTATTTGTCTTCTACAAAAGTTTTTGGCTGATTATCCAAATGAGTTAAGAAGGACACAATGGGTATTTTGGTAGAAATTAAGTTAAAATGGAATTTAGTTGAAGCAAAATTATAGATTATTTTCTAATTCAATCCAACTTGCTCTTTTTTTTTTTTTTAAACCAGGACTTGCTTATTTATAATCAGAGACCAAGATTAGCCTTTCCTAACATTGCCTGTAAGGATAGTTTCCCCAAAGATTATTCTGTGATCGTTGTTAACTCAAGTTCTTTTTGTGATCTTATTAAGGATTAAGGAATATGGAGTTTATAAACTGAATAAACTCTAAAGTTAGTGCATTGTAACTTCTTTGATATCTTTTTTGAATTAGAAGTACTGGTTTTTATATGTTGTTTTTTAAAAAGGTATGGGAAATGTATATTCATTTTAGGCACATGTTATCAGTTTCTTTTGTTTTCCCAGGTACAATTGTGATTTATGTGCCCTACTAGGTTTATTGATTAGATTTCTGAGATAGAACATAGATGAATTTAAGCAAGTTTATAGAGCCACCCTAAGATTATCATGCACAAATATTTTCCCACAGGAAAAAAAGCATTAAAGATTCTAAAGTAATATCTTGAACATCTCATAACTTTTTAAGCAAAAATACCAGATAGTGTATGCAGAGTGTTTTCCCCAATGTAGTTGCCTTGTGGTTCCTTTAGATTCTGCCATGTTCTTTTGAATATAAGGCAGGACATTTCTTGACCTTTGAGGTTGTATTTGTCAGTGAGAAATGGTCAGATGTCACTTGGGTGATTAGATTGGATAATACGGTTTAGGGGAAAAATATGTTAGTTATAGAGGAATGAGTCTGCCTTTCTCTGAGACATATTAAACTGCTCTAAAGTGGAAATTCCCCCCAAATCTCCAGTGGTGGCATATTGGAATTAGCATATGGTCTGTTTAAGTAAATATTCATTTGTAAATACAAGTTATGTTACTTCAAAAAAGTTATACTTTTTAGGCATATTACATCCAAATAAAACTACCTAATTTATTACTAAAGTCCAGGCTTTTGGCATTTCAAGTACCTCAGTGTGGCAGATTGAAAATCTGGTGTAAGAACCAAGTATGATTTTTTTAAATGTGTCAAGGAAGCTGGCCCATTTCCTGAACAATAAATTCTTTTCTGTAAGGAATGTTAGACAAAGTGGTTAAAAATCAGGAATATCTTTTTAAAGTCTTTACTGGAAGCTGACTTCTTGTGTTAATTGTGGAGAATCTCAGGATAACTTGATGTAAAGCAAGCTTGAAAAATTACATCTTTTTAAAAGCTTACATATTTTTCATCACCAGTAGGCCACTTAAGCAATTCCTTTGTCCAAAATATTAAAGTACAACTTGGCCTTTTTAACGTTTAGAAATGACTTTTGCCTCTTATTCATGTTAAGTACTTGTATTGGACAGTGTATTTCTGGATGTTGGTTAATTTGCTGACTCTTATAAGATTAGTCAATTCCTGCAAGTTCTTGGTACATGTTTTAGCATTTAAAAATTTTCAGTTAAATCTCCGTAATTGCCACAGATAATTTTATAATTTCTGGTTCTCATCATTGTTTCTGTGTTAGGAAAATATTGTACCTCTCAGTACCTGACTTGCAATTTTTGCTGCTTTAAAAATGGTCACATTTATTATCTTAACAAAAGTAATTTTTAATTAAATGTTTACATTATTGAACTAAGCAGACTGAAATTTAAGCAAGCTGTTTTGCATAGAGTTTATGATTGAATCTCTAAAGGATATCAGTTTCCACTCAGATATTTATAGGAGAGTAGTTTTAAAATTGTTTGATTTTTGTCCTTGCCAGTGTGGCTTGGTTGGATCGTCGTCGCGTGACCAAAAGGTTGCCCCATAGATTCCCAGTCAGGGCACAGGCCTAGGTTGCCGGTTTGATCCCCGGTGGGGGCATGCTGATCAATTTTTCACTCTTACATCGATGTTTCTTCCTCCCTCTCCCTTTCGTCTCTCTCAAATCAATAAAAACAAACAAACAACCCTTAGGCGAGGATTCAAAAATTTGTTTGGTTGTAATTTATATATTAAGTGTAATGTAGAGACTTTGCATTATTAACAAGTTATTTTTTTTTTGCATAAAAGCATTTTTATTTTTTTTAAAATTTTTTATTAAGTTATTACATATGTGTCCTTATCCCCACATTACTCCCCATCCCCCGACTCTTGCCCTCACCCCCCCTGTTGTCTGTTGTCCATTGGTAGGCCTATATATGCTAGCATATAAGTTCTTTGGTTGATCTCTCCCCCTTACACCCTCCCCTACCTTCCCTTTGAGGTTTGAATTTCACATTTGTTTATGCTTATTTTTGAAATGGAGATTTAAATAATTTGTTAGATAATAGAAATGTAAGTAATTATGTAATATTTAAATTATTACTAGTTTATTACCTAAAGGAACTTTGGGTCAGTGCATGTAACAGCTTTTATATCAGCGGTTCTAAACCTGTGGGTCGCGACCCCTTTGGGGGTCGAACGACCCTTTCACAGTGGTCGCCTAAGACCATTGGAAAACACATATCTAATTACATATTGTTTTTGTAATTAATCACTATGCTTTAATTATGTTCAATTTGTAACAATGAAATTGGGAGTCACCACAACATGAGGAACTGTATTAAAGGGTCGCGGCATTAGGAAGGTTGAGAACCACTGTTTTATATGTTACAACTACATTTCCTTTGTCCATTCTTGAAACTTTACCTCTTGAAGTGAAGAGATGTCTCTCTATAATAACTGTAGTTTTCTGTTACCAACTCATCTGACTGAAGTTACTCTTGTTATAAAATAGCTTAGAGAAATATATGTTAGCAGAAATTTTACAGTATTTTCAATATTACATGCTAACAACAGTTTTCTGGTTAGAATCTTTTAGGTTTCCTTGTTTCTACACTGTTATTTTTTGCTACCTCTAGGAAAACTAGACATTTGGAAGTGGAATTATGTTCACTGAGTATTAGTCTTTCTGCTTAAGATGCATAGTACTGTGATAAGGACATATACTTTACTTCCCTCTCTTATAAGAGAGCTTACAGCACTTAATATTCTTAAAGAATAAACCTTTTCCAAGTGCTGTACTTATTTACAGATCAGCCTAGAACACCCTCAAGAAAATAACAGATTGTGTAGCAAAATAGAGATACTGAGTTTTTTGAGCATGGATTTTTTTCATGTTCAAAGAAGAGTTATGTGCTTTCAAATGAAGATAATGAGGTTTTGTAAATGAAGAATATAAGAAAAATAAACGAATAGTCAAAATATTTTATTTTAATTTAAAAATCAATTGAAGACAAATTGGCTATTCCTAGGAAAAAGATAATGTATGTTTTCATTATAGTCTATGTATTTAAGAACTAAAGCAGTAAATGCCAAGATTTATCTGGTTCTCTATCCACTTTTAGTTCATTGACACCTTCCGTCTTCTAGTTCATCGACAGGTAATTATATAATGGTATTAGTGGCTTAATTCCATAACCTTATTATCTCCTGACATTTAAAAAGACAGTTCCTCTAAAATAAAAGATAGTGATATAAAGAGAAGAGACCCTGACCTGTGCCCATTTTCCTTTCCTTTTTTTGTATTCCCTGCCACCCCCATGTTAACAACAAAAGCCCATTTTGTAGTCTCTTGTGCCTGGGAGAAACTTCTTCAAGGTAGCTCTGAGCCTGTGGCTTCTGGCTGAAGACAGTCTTCATTCCTTGGTAGCCTTACCCATGGCTTTTTTTTTTTTTTTTAATGGAAAAGAGTTCAGGAGATTTAATATCCTTCACACACCAACTCCATGTTTGCCTGCAGGGATGGTGTTGGGCATGTTCTCCCTTGTAGTGGTGTTCCAGGGTGCTTTATGCCATCCCCCCAAAGCACCAACCCTTACACCCTGAAGAAGCCAGTCACCTTCTTGCCCTTCTTCCCTCTCCTTCTCTGTTTCTCCATCCTCCTTCATTGCAATAAATCAGGGTGACTAAGACCTGTAAGTATGCAATTACTGTATTTCTTAACGAGTATTTATGTTAGCATTATTTCCTAACAGCAGTCCTACTGTTAATCATACTGCTTTAGTTCACTGTCCTTCTAAATGCCAGTGTCAATTTAGGTATTCTTTAAGTGTATCGAATATAAGGAAAAGGGTGAAGGGAAGAAATGACTATTTATAATGGTAACGGGTTTTATTGCTTATAATAAGTAATGTTTTAATATTTTGCCAAATGAAAAAAATATTTTAAAAAGAAAGGAAAAATCGTTTTATGTAAATGTTTATAAACATGTATGTAAATATGTTGTTTATATTACCTTCAAAATCATTAATAAAAATGGATTTTTAGTTTTTTCCTGGAATGGGGTTCCTTTGTGTATAGGAGGACAAATTTATCCTAAACAGCACTTGCAATCTGAGTTTCTTTAACACATGATCTTAGAAGGGATACATGTTTTTTTGTTTTATGGTCATTTATCAACCAATGTTTTTTCCTTTAATAAAGAATATCATTGATTTTTTATTGAGGTATAATTGACATATGACATTGGTTTCAGGTATACAACATAATGATTAGATATTCGTATATATTGTGAAATGATCACTACAATAAGTCTAGTTAACATCTATCACTGCATATAGTTAGAATTTTTTTTTCTTGTGATGAGGATTTTTAAAATTTACTCTCAGCAGTTTTCAAATATGCAATATAGTATTATTAACTATAGCTACCATGCTGTACATTACATCCCCATGACTTACTTTATAACTGGAAGCTTTTACCACATCTTTATACATTTATCTATTAATGGACTCTTAGGTTGTTTTTGTATCTTGGCGATTGTAAATAATGCTGTAATGAACATGGTGACAATATCTTTTCAAGTTAGTGTTTTCATTTTCTTTGTATAAATAGCCAGAAATGGGTCCATTCTGTTTTCCATAGTGGCTACACCAATTTTCATTCCCACCAATAATGCATAAGGGTTCCCTTTTCTCCACATCCTCTCCAACACTTGTTATTTCTTGTCTTTTTGATAATAGTCATTCCAATAGGTATGAGGTGATGATCTCATTTTGGTTTTGATTTGCATTTCCCTGATTAGTGATACTGAGCATTTCTTCGTGTTTCTGTTAGCCATCTGTATGTTTTCTTTGAAAAAATATTCAAACCTGCCTACTTTTCAGATTATCTTTTTTTTGAGTTGTATGAGTTTTTTTGTGTATTTTTTATATTAGCTCCTTAGCAGATGTATGGTTTGTATTTTCTCCCATTCATTAGGTTACCTTTTCATTTTGTTGATGATTTCCTTTGCTCCACAGAAGCTTTTTAATTTGATGTAGTCCCACTTGTTTATTTACATATTGTTTATTTTTGTTACCTTTGCTTTATAGTGAGATCCA